TCCAACCGTAACTATTCTATGACTCTATGAATAAAAAAATAAATGATGACTAGGAAATACTGGAAATAAAATTCAGCTAATTTGCAATGTCAAGACAGAGATAACTTTAATGGCACTGTGGTTTGGAGAATACTACCGAATAAAGTCAGAAGATGTGCTGGGCAAAGCTCATGTCTTTTCTTGGAAAACCAACCAATTTGCCAGGAGGTATTGGGAGCCAGGCTTATGGAAGGCCAACAATAATACTCCTAGGGTAGGTTCAGTGACAAGCATGCATTACCCCTTATCTGTTTTTCCTCATATTTTTTCCCACTCATTCTCCAGTCAGTTCAGTTCTACCTCCTTGCCTTTCTAGAAGTGTAGGAGCAGGGATATGTAAGTGGATATGAAAAATATGCATCCTTCGAAGTTTTCAGTCAACCATAAAGGAATAAGCAATTTGTTCTTTGGAAATCAAATCCTTTTAAGATATAATATGTTATATTATAAATTTCTATAATAAAGGCATCCAGATTTACCAGACAATTGCAGAAAAGTCACCGATTTCCTGTTCATTTGATAGGATGAAGATAACATTTTACTCATTCTTGTCCTACCTCCTTAAACAGCATGCTGAAAATATTCACTGTCTTTGATTAGTCATTTAAATGTTCTACAAACCCAAAATAATAGGCTGTGCAAGGAGGATAGAAAAGACTCACCTGGTGTTCAGTTAGCCATGATATGCTTCACAAAAGCTGGAAACAAGAAAGAAAAGGATCATTTATCAATCCCTTTCATTGAACTCAGAAAATTATTTGGTATATAAGTTTGGTTGTGATTTAAATTCACTCTTCTTACTTCCTCTGATGCAATGAGAACCACAACATTTTCTAAATAAGATTCCAGATACCAGGCACTAAATGCTTTGTAAGTCCTTAAGGTAACAAGTACACTGAAGTGTAGCCAACAGTCTAGGTAGCCAGTGGAAATGAATATGTACATGAATCAATCTATAGCTTGCTTAATCCCTTACCCTTGGCTGCCATATGGAACTGGCTTTCACCTCCCATATGAAGACAGGCTGCGAAAGTTGGGGCTGTTCAGCCTGCAGACGAGAAGACTGCGTGGAGACCTCATAGCAGCCTTCCAGTATCTGAAAGGGGCCTATACGGATGCTGCGGAGGGACTCTTCATTAGGGACTGTAGTAACAGGACAAGGGGGAATGGCTTTAAACTTAAACAGGGGAAGTTTAGGTTAGATATAAGGAAGAAGTTCTTTACTGTCAGGATGATGAGGCACTGGAATGGGTTGCCTGAAGAAGTTCTGAATGCTCCATCCCTGGCAATGTTCAAGGCCAGGTTGGATGGAATCTTGGGAAACATGGTTTAGCGCGAGGTGTCCCTGCCCATGGCAGGGGGGTTGGAACTAGATGATCTTAAGGTCCTTTCCAACCCTAACTATTCTATGATTCTATGAGAAAATCTGGGTCCTCATCTTGAAAGGCTTTCAAGACGCCAGCACATTTGTACTAAGTCAGGGGGGCACTGAAGTTTCCTCTGGAGTGAACCTCCAGAATCCACAGAAGCTCACCAAGTCAGATATTGTGACTGTCTTTCTCCGGTGAACTCTAGTTTACAAAACATTTCAAAATTAAATCAAGCTTTTGTTTCAAAAAGTTTTGGGTTCCATTTCCTCCATTTAAAAAAGCATTCATTGTATACAGTTTTGAAATTCAAAAGGAAAAGGAAAAATACATCCTGTAGTAAGGATTTTTTTTTCTTTCACAATAATCCCCCCAGGCTATGAATTTCTCTGAATTCAGCATAAGTTCATGAGTCATTTGGGTTGGCTAAATCTATAGATTCCTAGCCTATAAAGTACTTGTAAAATGTTTCCCTGAACTTAGATCACTGGTAATTGTAAATAGAAGGAGACAACCAACCCAAATAGTCATAAAAAGCTCAGTGAATATGACAGATCAGCTAAATCACCAGAACAGTAGAATAGTCAATCACCATTTAACCTTAAGAAGGGCTCAGCTGTATACAAAAGTGCATGTTCATGATTCCTACTAGAATATTGTGGTTTTATAGAAAAGCTTGAAGCATGTAGGCTTGCAAGATGCAGGAGATAACCATGTGCAAGTACTCATGACTCTATTCTGGCTTTCTAAAATAGCAATGAAATAAAATGGAAGGTCTTTGGAAAGTCTTTTAGGATTCTTAGGACACAAAAGAGGATGATAAGGATAACATCTTTTGTTGAGTTTTTGAAGGAAAATGTAGTGATTTTTCTGTAAGGAATTCTCAAAAAGGATGTGGGGTTTTTTTGTTTTTTGACAGGGCAAGGAACTGTGGAGAAGGTAAAAACATAATGGTTTTGGGTTTGTTTGTTGTTTTTGATTTTGTTTTTTTTTTTAAATGAAGACAAACAAAATAAGAATATACAGCCCCACTTTCTGAAAGGGCCATGGCTATTCAGCTATGGAAACACAAGTAACCTTCAACAGACAGGGTGTACCAGCTGGCTTATAGAATCTGAAATGGCTTAAAATATGGAAAAGCACACATCCTGCTCCAGATCTTCCACAGATTTAAACTTTCTCAGCATATTTACAGCAAAGCCTTCAAGCACATGATCACTGCCCAGTCTGAAGTGGTTATACTTACCTTCATAGTTGATACAGCCATTGGCATCTTCCTGACCAGCCATTAACTTATCAACTTCCTCTTCAGTCAGCCTCTCACCTGGTGGAGAGCAAAAAGCCTGTTCAGTACCTGGGCACTTTTTAAGAATTTATGAAGCATATTTCAGAGAACCAAAGAACACAAAAGAGAGTGAGAGAAAAGGGGGAGATTTTCTCTTCAGTTTAATTTGTGGTGCTGACTGCTAGGAAAGCTACTTTTGTCCTTGCAAACTGAGTAAATTGATCTGAAACCCAGAAAGACAGAATAAATATGGAAACCCACATGCTATAATGTTTACATACTCAGTCTTCTAAGAATAAGCTTTCTCTAAGTGCCAAACCTTGAAGGCTTTAGTCACTTTTTAATCAAGTCTTCACTAAAAAAACCTTTCAGTAGAGTCAGGATCTAGTTTGTCTCTGAGTTTGAGTTTCAGGAAGATTCTAAAATCTAATTTAGGATCTCTGAATTGGGTGAGTGATCCATTCTGTTTAGTTTCATTATCTAAGTATTAGGAGCCCTTTTGTTTGTAGGGCTTCATTTTGGTTAAGCAGAGATCAATCCAATCCATCCCCTTATTCTAGTATTAGGCACTAATTTTAGGATGAGGTCAAATGAGTTCCAGAAAAGTAAATTAGAAATCTGAGTGTGGTTTCAGCTGAAATCATAGAAATTTAAATAATGAAATGAAGGGAGAAAAGAGAAGAGAAGAGAAGAGAAGAGAAGGAAAGGAAAGGAAAGGAAAGGAAAGGAAAGGAAAGGAAAGGAAAGGAAAGGAAAGGAAAGGAAAGAAAAGAAAAGAAAAGAAAAGAAAAGAAAAGAAAAGAAAAGATGCTTTGGGTGTGCCCTGCTACTCATGTTGTTCACCTTTTTCCATCACTGAGTTCTGGCACACAGAAATAAGTCCTCAGCTGATGTGAACCTGTGAATGTTCAACCTTTTTTTTTTTTTTTTTTTAAATTAAACAGAGAAGAATGTTAATTTACAGAATATTTAGTTTTGCCTAGGATTTGGCCAGCATTTAGAGGTACCACCCAAAACAGAACCATTAATTCTTAAGATTGAAAAACTTCTTAATGGTGAAAATCAGGCATTGCTATATTACTGGAAATAGAAGAGTAAGTAGAAAAGTATTTCTTGCAGTCCTGTGAAACTTGCAATACTGCCCATAGTGGTTTCTTTGTCCCAGGTAAGGTTAGACAGGGCATCAATCCTGACCCGGGAAGGTTGGGGGGTGTCATTACTGAATTTGGTCCCAAAACTAGTTCAATAGCATCAGCAATAGAAAGGAAAATAGCATTGCTTTCTTATTTCCTGTGTCATTAATAGACATTGATGTGTCACTGAATTAAAACCCCAAGGCATAAAGGGTTTACCTTTCTTGAGTTGATACTCTAGGTCACAACCCACCACTGGAAGCCTTTGGTCTAAATCAAATCTCTTTTGTAAAGGCTCATCCCTTTTTAAAAAAATAGTAGACAAACGCTAGTGAAAAGGCTGATCTTGAGAAATGCTTACTGGATTCAGATGACAGCTTGTCAGTGCCTTCTAATCCAAATTGGAAACCTATCATTAAGTTACAGCCAAATTTTCTGTCCTGCACTCATTCTGTTGTCAGCACTTTCTGTGAAATTGGAGCTTCCGAAGTAAAAATTTGAGAGGACAGGCAAATATTGATCCCTCCTTTAAAAACAGGGGCTTTCAAATTCAGAGACACTTCTGTTAAACACATGACTGATAAAGAAGTGCATCATCTTAAAACTTTTCTTGAAGGTGCAGAAAAATATTGACATTGGGCATTCCAATGTTTAGATAGTTTTATGGTGATAGAAATATAACTTTTATTGGAAAATAAAACAAAGGAAGGAGGGAAGCAAGCAAGTAAGCAAGCAAGTAAGCAAGCAAGCAAAGGGCTTCCTTGAGCTGTAGGTCAATAATTTTTAGCTTCATTATTAAAGAACATCTTTTTAGTCTTTATACTGAGGACAATGCAATAGCTGAAATCTTGCTCAGCTGTTTCTTTCCATAAAGGTTACCCGTAACAATACAAGCTGTATGGGAAAGACCTCAGTGATGAAACCGCATGAGGCAAGTTTCACCTTACCCAGTGTAGCCAAAACGTGGCGAAGTTCGGCTCCCATCACTGTTCCATTTCCCTCCTTGTCAAACACACGCAGACCCTCCACGAAGTCTTCATAGGTGCCTGTATCTTTTGTCTTAGCAATATGCTGGAGCATGGGCAAGAAGGTCTCAAAGTCAATCATCTTGGAGTTCATCTCTACAAAGACACAGATGGAAATTAAAGTTTTGGTGGATTCTGGGAGAGTTGAGGAGTAACCATGGGGCATCTACCATGGGTAGGTGATGATGGTAGAAGAACTGTGGCAATAAACACCAGCAAAAGAGGAAAGAAGAGCATAGAAATGTATTAAGTACAGATGGAAGAACAGATTGTCAGAGTGGGAAAGAGGTCTGGCAGAGCGAGAAATACCTACCTGCCACTGTTACATTGACATATCCCAACATATCGCAGTTGTTGAATGAGGACTTAATTGACAATTCTACCTCAGTGGAAGGAAAGGACAGAGAAGTAATTTAGAAAATGCTCAGATATAGATATAGTTTGAGAGATTTACTTTGTTCTGAAGAGATATCCAGTGTATGGTCAATGTTGAATGGAGATATATGCATATTTCTGAAGAACAAGCTGTGCCCTCATAATCAGTCTATCCCTTTTTTTTAAAGACATCTTTAAAATGTTTGTGGTTTTAGTAAACACACATGAATGTCTGTCATTAAAGCAATTTTAAAAGGCAAAACCCCTTTATTGTAAAACACATTGACATACAGGACCATTAATTCATTCTTCTAAATTTGAGACAATATTAACTGCAAGATCACTTTTCCTCATTTACTTTTCTGCTAGTGATTTGCAGAGGTTGTTCCAAATCCTTTGTTATTTCACAATCTTTCCATCAGAAAATGGATATCTCATCTGCTTCACAAAATTCTTGGAGTGATCTTTTTGAAACAAACACAGAGGAGGACACCAACCTTCTGGTTTGGGCCTGCCAAGCACTTTCAAGACCTCAGCCTGGGTGGGATTCTGCCCCAAAGCTCTCAAGACGTCTCCACATTGTGCATATGTGATTTTCATCTCAGATTTAGGAGTCCGGTCAAAGAGTGAGAATGCTTCCTTAAATTCTGGAAGACAAAAAGATAAAAAGAAATGCATGCCATGTTCCCACAGATAAAGTCAAAGGGAGCCTAGACCTTCCCCCTAACTAACTCTGTCTGACCTTTTTATTTTGCAGTTTGGGAAAAAGTTTGATGAGCTTTGTTGTTGCTGTTATCTGCAATGTTTGTGTTCCTCCTCCCCTGCATTTTCCGGTTCAATCAGGGAATGGAATCAGAGAGGTCAAATGCTCTTCTTATGGTATTTCCATCTCAGCTAACATCAAGAAGTGCAGAAAACCTTACAGAAAGGCTTGGCCTTGAAAGCTTCCCAGCTTATCAGAAGCAGTCAGGATGGCACAGAATTCAATAGCAGTTCTGCTCATTAGCTACCTGGATATTTTATTCAGCATTATACATGTAGAGAGCACTGGCACAGCCTATTGAGATAAAAAAGTATCTTTCTTAACAGATAACAAGATATGCCATGATAACCTACTGGAATTATCATACAAGAAACAGCTGTGCAAGGGTGGAGGTATATGGAAAGTCCGAATTCCCAAGGCACATTTATTGCTTAGGTTCACCTCTCACTGCTGCAGCTGCAGATGCATTGCAGAGACCAAGGAGCATCTCAGGATGCAAGCAACAGTAATAGGCTGTTATCCTTCACTGAACACACTGAATAGTGCACGGTCCATAGGTAATCACAAATATCCCTTCGGCTTTAAAGCTATGAATCTCTGAATCTGCCCTTTGTCCTGTCCTCTTCTGCCTACCTTTCCCTCCCGCTCTCCAAATGCAGGGAGGCTTTTTTTTACCCTAGGTCCCAACATTCAACCATTCAACCATGTGTTCTGCATGCCAGATTTTCTCCATCTTTCCCTTCTCAATTCCTTCTCCTCCTCCTTATTCCACCTCTCTTTTTATTTTGTTCTTCTTTGATGACTTCTCTCTCCTTCCTTCTTCTATTGTTGTTGGGTTTGCCTCCCCTTCTTTCTCACTCCCTTTTCATTTTTATCATTCCGCTCATATCTTATTCATTTCTCCATCCAACACTTTCAAACAATAATGCCTTTTCTCATTTTGGACTAATCAATGCTCACCTTGTTTTCTTCTTGTACTCTTCCTCTTTACTCCCTCTTTCTCCTTCCCTGCCTCACTCTCTCCTGGATCTTTGCCCCCTTGGCACAGGTTGGAGCCCAGGTCCCATTGGCAGCCCTCATTCCAGCAGAGGGCAATAGTGGATTTTCATGGGCTCCTTGCTGACAGTGGAAGGAGGCAGAGACCCACTCCTAGCTCTGTCCTTTCCTGGGGTTCTCAGCAGCTGAGATGGATGAGAAATACAGCTACCTCCCTGAGCTACCCACCTGCCTGCCACTTACCTATTCCCTGAGACCAATTGCCTGAGCACCCTCTGCACCACCTCCTGAAGGTTCACAATTCATCGTAGTTACTGACAGCTCTCATTTATCTTTTTTTTCTTTTTTCTTTTAAAATCGGATGTAACCACCTCTCACTAGAGCATCGGCCTGTGTGTTTTGACACCCCATTTTGTCAATATACAAAAGCAGCCTTTTTTTTTTTTTTTTTTTTTTTTTATTTGCTGTTGTCAAAAATAAAAACCCAGCTTTTTTTTTTTTTTTTTTTTTTTTTTTATTTGCTGGCTTAGTTCAAGTTTTCATCAAAGCAATGAAACCAGCATGGCTATGGTCTCCTTTGACCTCCTGCTAGCCACTAAATCACTGGTAGAACCAGTGTATATTTTCATATGCCTAATTGCTACCTATCTTCTCATCTTGAATGTTCGTATTCTTCATTTTTCAGTAATTTCGGGGGCTGAAGAGGCCAGAAATCCAGTTCCATAAATACACATTGCCACAACCAATAAATTTCACTGGCAGCTGAGACAGAAGGATGTATAAAGATGGGTGTGCTATTCATGGCTTTACCCACAGACCATTCTTCTTCTGAGAGTAACATTTTGGGGTCTAACATAAAAATGAATCTTTGCAGAGAAGTAAGTCTGATGCAACAAAGTCTTTTTCTCAGCAAAAGGAATAGGTTCTAGGTACCCTGGAAGATAGGGCTGGAAAACACCTTGAGATGCTTCATTGTCTGTTTCTTCTCCACCACCTCAGTTCAGAATGAACTGTCAGAAAACCAGTTGGGTCGGTCGTGATAGACTGACAGTCAGTAATACCTATCACATAGGATGGACTGCTTACTGATCTAGTTTCATCAGACAAATCAGGAAGTATTTCATCTCACTGAGGCATCTAGGTCCTCATCTGGTCAACAGTGAGAGAAAGAGGTGATTATTATACATTAGAGGTTTATTTTTAAAAATTCCCACTTATAAAGGTATGAGAGATGACCTTGACCTCCTGACAACTTCATGAAAGAGGAAATTTGACAAAATTAACAGTGCAATGCAGAGCAGAAAATGAACACAAAAAAAACATGAGTGCAACCAAAACCCAGAATAATGGGAATGAGAAAACAGATCAGAAAGACTTATTCCAGACCTCTTGCAAGTCCCAGCTCTCAAGTGATTTCAACAGCCAGTATTGCAGCTATAAATCATGGAAAGTGGTGCTTGCTTTCTAACCTGTTTTTCACACAAAATAAAACAATCTCAAGTGCTGGAATACTGATTGTCCACTTTCTTAAACCAGTGGGACACTTCTTGGCAAGGTTTTGACTTCTGCAAACTAGTGCAGAAGACAGAGTGTGCCAGGAACAACCCAGGGACAACTGTGGATTGTGCTGTAGATATAATTCTACAGCTGAAGCACCTAAGCTCTTCCAAAGAGTAAATATCTATTTAGCAACTATCAATCTGTCTGCCTACTTAACTGTGAACCTAAGAACCCTCTACCTTCTAAAGGTAAACTGAAGGGAAAAAAAAAAAAAAAGAAAATAACCAGAAGATGTCAGAGGGAAGGAACTGAGTTGACTGATCAGCACTGATCAGCAGTGCTCAGTTCCCCAGGTGATGTTTAGGACATTAGGTACTCCTTTCAGCAGTTCATGGCAGAACTAACAAACCAACTTGATTAACCCTGAGTAGATTTAGTGTTTCTCCCCAGCGCTATCATGCAGTATAACTCTGCTGCATTGTGGTAGCTGAGATGGAGGCGTCATAGCCTTTCCCACACAGATGATACCTGCTTCCTGCCCCATGGCTTTCCCTTTACTATTTCAAGGACATCCCATTTCACAAGTCCTGTATTCCCAGCTTTTCTGTGTGTAAGCTGTGAATACAGCTATACCAGAAGGCAGCTGTAAGAAGAAAATTAAAAAGGAAGAAGATGCAACTTTCTGTTTCCAGAGATACTCTGCATCTGCTCTAGACCTGCTACCTTTTTTGACAGCCCTAGTTTTTTTCCAAATTTGTCATTTCCTAGCCATGCCAGTGGGCTGATAGCCAGACAAGCATCCATTTTTTCTGAATAAGTCTTTTCCCATTTTCTGATACAGTCTCTACAGCTAGTTCTCCTCAGGGAAGAGAGAAAATAAGACATAGAAACTAAGTGAGTCCTACCCAATCCCGAAAACATTAACTGATGAGAGATCTAGCTGTTGTGTGCTGCTGGAATAGTTCAGAGGTTTGTGGCTCAGCATTGTGCCTCTCCTATGGTTCTCCCATGACTTCGGGACTAGAAAACAAACAGCTTCCCAGAATTTAATAGTTGACTCCAATCATGAGTTACTTTTGACCTGTTGTTAAAAAACAAATTAAACCAAACCTATTAAGGTGAGAGGGGAGAGAGGGGGCTGGGAGGAAGTGCGTTTGAAAATCCCAAGGCAATGCTGGAAGTCTGAAGCCAAGCCTCAGTCTTTAAGATATTATGGCATTTGGTTCCAGTTCAGAAAATCCTTCCTTCTGTATCTCTCCTCTCTTAATCAGCCTGACTGGATATCTTGGTTGAGTTTTTTTCATCTGTTCTAATTAACCCATTTTCAGATACCATCTTTCATAGTCTCTACCAAGTTCTGCCGAGTGTTTAAATACCCAAACAAAATTCTGCCAGATGTTTGTGACTCCATCTATCAATTATCCTTTAAGTAAAAAACAAGCTGGTGGTTGAGGAAAAAGGGGACAGCTGCAGTGGTAATGTTCCCAGGACTTCATGACTGAGGTTTTAGTATCAGTTTCTTGGGCTGGGACAAAGGTTTCTGAAACAAATGCTGACGTTTTGCTTTGAAAGAAAAAGAACGCCATCACTGTCATTGTTTGCTGGTTTCTGGAGAGCTGTCACTAAACTGTAACACATTAAATTTTGATTGAATACAGGGAAAAGTTCTCAAAAGCAGAGTTGGGAGACTTTCACTTGAAAGAATTGACATTTTGTTAGTGGTATTTTTTAAAGAAAGAATATATTTGGTCTGAGGTTTTGGGGGGGTGGTGTGGTCCTTTTTTTTTTCCCCTCACTGGAAGTGGAGCTGATATTTTCTTTAGTAAGTACCTATTCTGCATGGTGCATGACTTTCTCCTTTTCTCTTGACCAAGTCAACAGAGGATTTGGAGGAGGGAAGAAGCATGACCAATGCCATGAATTAAAGCACAGCCTTCTCAAGGCAGCTCAAATACCACATCTGTGTTCACCCCAGCCAGCATGTCCCAGTAACAATATTTACTGTGCGCAGAAGAGAAACACATCTTCCTCACCTTCAATCTGGTCAGGGGTGAATTCAACCTGAAAAAAACAAAGAACAACAGCCAGATAAAACCCAGAAAACCAAAGCAAATAAGAAAACTGGTTTAGTCTTTGTCATATGTTTCGGGGTGGTTTTGAGGTCCATGAAAAAAACTTACTCATAACAATAATTTAATAGAGCCTATAGATTCTCATTTTTTCCTCCTCCACCTTCACCAGCCCCACCTTTAGGTCCTCTGCCCTCAGCACAAGGTTTTAGATGCCCTTTATTCTTCTGCTGCTCCTGTGTTCCTGTGGTAGTTTCTTTCCTTTATCCCAAGTGACTCCCCACTGCTCATGTCCTCTCCAGAGAAGATTATGGTAGCAGCATGGTAAATCCCAGGCTACTTCGCTGAAAGGTTTTTATCTGTAAACAGATGGGGATCCACAGTTTTTTCCAGTGGAAGAACAAAGGGGTATCAGGTGAAGCTGTTGCAAATCAGGATCAAAGGAAAGTGAAGGAAGTAGTTTTTTGCTCTTACAGCTGAATTGTGGAAAGCTAGTAATGGGATACTGTGGATGTTCACAGTCTACATGTGTGTAAAGAGTCACAGGACTATTTCATGGAAAATAAATGTATTTCTGTACAGTACAAAATATACTAAAATGCATAGTTTAGGAAGTGTCTGTGTGAGGTTTAGGACAGTGTTTTGGGGAAGTTTTGCCCAGTTCTTGTACCTTTTCCAAAAGTATCTTCTAATAACCACTGCCATACTCCACTGGACAACTCCCTGGACCTTGCTCTGATTCTCCAATATATATTGTTTTCTCATCACTTCATATTTTCACCTGTTTCTTAAGTTTTGGGGTTGTTCTGCTCCATATTTTTACGTGGCATTGCACTCCAGCAGCTCTGGACTCCAAAAATGCTACAGATGCCAAAAAGCTGCTGCTGAGCTCAAATGAAAAAGAAGGAAAACCAATGCCAATGTGAGGTCCAAGCTTCCACATGAACAGGCACAGGACAGCAATGTGAATGTACACCAGAATTTATACCTGCCTCGTGCAAACCAACAGCTTGGTGTTTCTGCTCATGGGAACATTCCTGCAGTGCAAGAAGACAGGCAGATTGTCCTTGTGGTGAATACATAAATAAAGAGAAACCATATTTTGGTATGCATAAACATATAAATGAATATGTGCAAAGCATACACTTGGGACGCACCTAACAATACATGAATGGACACCCTTGGAAGCATTGCTCTGTGGACATAGACTCATAGAATCATGAAATGATTTGGGTTGAAAGGGAACTTAAAGATCATCTAGTTTTGCCCCCCTTGCCATGGGCAGGGACACTTTCCACTAATATCCCTCCCCAAAATATGTACAACCCCACACATTTTGGTTTAGATTTTCCATATGAAGCTGACCACCTTTCACTGTTTAATACCATATTTTGTTTTTTGGTGGAAAGCATCCAAGTGAAAAAAGGCATACTGAGAACCTCAAACTCCCTATTTCCTTGTTTCAAGGTAAAATGCAATGTGACTCATCCCTTCACCATCTGCTTGGGGTTTTCATAATATTAAAGGATGGAGCTGTTGTAACTCCCCAGCTCTCTAGTCAGGATGGCTGTGTCATAGCAGAACATGACAACACCAACCTCTTCATTCCACCCAGGGGTCAGTGGACAGCTCCCAGACACTTTTCTGCCTGATACCCTGAGCAGCACGAGGAGCAATAGCATTCATAGGACACATAGGGTCTACAGGGGAGGTACAGACAGCCTAAAACTCATATTTCTGACCAATGACCTGCCTATCTCTCCCTAACACAGTGTTTCTGAGCATCTGCTGGCTTAGGATAAGGAAGAACCAGAAAATATCTGGTGGACTTGGAAGGCAGGACTCAACACTAATCCTGCAATTATAGAAAATAAGGCCACAATTTTTCTGTTTGCCCTGTTCAGTCCTTACCTGAACTAGCTCATTCAGGGGGTTACCACTTTTTTTGCAATTCTCAGTCATGATTTACCTTGAATGAAATCAAATTAATAAAATAGCTACCAAAGTGACACCTAGGAAGCTGTCTGGAAGAAAGCATTTAACAAATGCAAGAAAGGAGCCCCCAGAAGAACAACAATGCTCTTCCCTTTCCTAACACATGGAGGGGTAAAAACACGTATTTGTCATGAATCGCAGAATCATAGAATAGTTAAGGAAAGGACCTTAAGATCATCTAGTTCGAACCCCCCTGACATGGGCAGGGACACCTTGCACTAGAACTTGTTGCCCAAGGCTCTGTCCAACTCGGCTTTGAACACTGCCAGGGATAGAGCATTTATCACTTCTTTGGGCAACCTGTTCCAGTGCCTCACCACCCTCACAGTAAAAAACTTCTTCCTCGTATCTAATCTAAACTTCCTCTGTTTAAGTTTGAACCCATTACCTCTTATCCTATCACTACAGTCCCTGATAATGATTACAGTCATCTAGACTGGGTCCTATCCCAAATCCACATACCTTAGTGATATGATAAATCAACACCCAGTGGGGAATACATTTATACAGGTGCACTGTCAGCGGCAGCCTTATGCCCAGTGTGTCTAATTATATCAAGCTTTGAGAATCTGAATGAAGGTCATATTAAATTCATTCAGGCATCAATAGACAGTGTAAGTGAAATACAACCAGAGCTGTTGGCAACTCTTATTTAAATCTTTTTAATATATA